AGAGGAGAGAGGTTTTGGCTTTTTTTCTGTTAACTCTCAAGATTCAGTAATAATCTTCAGCATTAAAAATATGGTCTGTTTCACATAGAAATATATATATATATATGTAAAATAGGGTCGTCTTATCAAAACCAAATTTTCTTTTGCTGCTCTGACATCTCTGAAGTATGCAAGCATAAGAGGAGTGGGAAGAAAAATACATTAATTATTGAACTGAGAATGGAGGAACATAGTCCTTGTGACATTCGAAAGACCCCTGGGAAACTGGACTTCCTTGTAAGGCATTTCTGAGACTGATGTGCTCGTGGATCAAGCGCTTTTGCTTTCTTTATAGCAGCTGAATGGATACCAAAGATGTCCTACATATAACAGTACTCCCTGCAAGATCTCAAAATGATAACTTTACTCACCACTACAAATTGCTAACTCAATAATCCTAATCCTCAGGTATGGTACTCACTTGTTTCCAACACAAAAAGCACATCCCTCTTAGCATTTATGAAACTGAATCTATAAATGTCTCATCAAGCATATGCCCTGCACTGCCCTTCAAAAGGCCTACATCAAGCTGGTATTTTCACATTTGAGTAATTCAAACCTGGACAACTTGACTATGCCTCTAGATTTTTCAGAGTGCTGTGCACAACTAATGGACAAAAAAATCTGTAACGAAGAACCTAGCAGAACACAAAAAATAAGTATTTCCACCAGTATAATAGCGCAAACCTATGTTTTTATAGCTGGCACTGTGCATTCTTTATAATACTAGCAATACCTGTCACAAACTGCACTTACTAACCAGAAGCCTAGGGCTATCACGGTCACCTCAATAAATGAATGCTGCATGCAGAGCTCAAGTCAAAATGCAAAGCTGGGCTAATGTAAAATGTGCAAAGCCTTTTCTGCAATAAGCAGTACATTTTAACAGACAGCTGTGACACCAATGTGCCATGATCCAGGTTGGCTGTCTGTCGGTGTCCAAATCATTGGTCTGAAACTTTAAAGCTATGGGGTCTAATTTCTCTGCTAAAAAGGGTACCCTGGGTGGCTAATCAGTCTGGACAGAGGATTAGATAAACATCACGTTTCTGCTAGAATCCAAGCTAGCTGTCATTATAAATGTGCCTATTGTGTAAAGACACTCCAAGTGTAACATCTTAACTTCCAGGTAAAATACCAGCTCCTAGCAAGGATCTTAGTGACACTATCTAAACTGGTAGATGTAGAAGCACAAAGTTCTCCAGCCTAGAGAGATACCCTGGCTGAAACCACTCCCATACTGCAGTGAAACTTGCACCTTGACCTTTCCAGGAGAGAAACCCAAGCAAATGTACTGGAGGATGCAAGAGCAGCACTCCAGGTCCTTCACTGGGCATTTCAGGATCAGGACCCTCACACACACTGAGGAATGTGCCCATCCCTCACCATAAACGCAGTATTTAAAAAGATTGGGGGTTTGCTTTATGCAAGACAAACTCAGCAGAATTTTCCTTTCTTTCAAGCACTGTTAAAAGAATTATCAATCATGTCTTCACTTTTTGATGGAGGGAAGCTTTATGCTTGGCTTCCTCTGCATGAGTTAAGTCAAAATGATCTAAACACTGCAAAAGAGTTATCTTAAATAAGACTGTTTTCTGACTATCCTCCTTGTTCCTCTTGCTTATGTATATTAAACAACAAAGTGCCATTTAAAACCTCTCTGATTGTCCTTGCAGTTTCTGTATCGTTTCCTCTCTGGAAGAACTTTTAACTGCTCTATCCTTCCTCTCAGAGTATTTGCACAGTTCAGTTTGCTTCTGCTACAGTGTGCTGTTCTGTAATCAGAGGCAACTGAGAATCAGGCAGAGACCTGCTTCCTTCAATGCTTGACCAATAGGTCACAGTTGCTTAATATAGCATAACACAATAACCTGGCCCGAACCATCACTTGCAAGAGAACCTTTGAAAGGAATAAAAGCTGTATCACACAAAGGACAGAACAAGTTCTCAAACCAACCCTGCCAGCAACCCTCCCTATTTTCTGGTAAGCTCTAAAGCCTTCCTTCATAAACACATCTACTGCAATGACTTGGGAATATACATGCCTCTCTGAGAAATCAGGTAAATTAAAATTTAACAGTTTTAGGAAATTACAGAATCTTTTGCTGAGAGGCTTTCTAATTATCAAACTGTAAATTCCTCCTGTCCCTGATACTCTATAGTTTTGTTACAGGTATTTCATGAAGATGTTGCAATCTCCTACAAGCTCAACAAAAACTTAAGAGCAGCAATCCTTACACCAATATGAAAATTACATCCAAAGGAATCACAAATAGGATTTCATAGCAAACTCTCAGAGACACTCTAGGACACCCATAAAATAGTTTTATAGTCACTTATAAATTCAACTCCCTGCAACTGGCACGAGTAACAAGGTAGGACCAATTAGCCTGATCCATTCACGGCAAGTCAGTGAAAATATTCTTTCAGACTAGACTTAACTTGGGATCCAGCCCAAAAAACAAAACAAAACAAACAAGCAAAAAAAAAAACCACAAAACAAAACCACAAACAAACCAACCATATAACCCACATGACTGAAATTCTTATTTGTAGAGCTTGGGTGGAAAACAGCAGCAAGCCCTATGTACTTTCTTACAGCACAAATAACTGAAAGAACATACCCCAATTTGGATGACAAAACAAATTTAACTGACAGAATAACCAAAAGAGGGTTCAACAGCCTGCTCTGCCACTTCAGTGGCACTTCAGTATTGCACAGTCAAAAGAAGGTTTTGGAATAAAAGTGTTCAGCAACTTCAGTAGCTTTTATTAAGCGATCACTATACCCTTCCTTGTTCTTACACCTTCTCACTTTTCTAATACAACCTAATATTCAATTTGCCTGTTTTACTGAAACTGTTCAATGGGACCATGGTTTCAACAGTTTTTTCCACAATAATTCCCAAGTCTTTTTCTTGATCACTGTGCTGGATGATTGTTCCATTTAGCAGGTATTCCCCAGATTATTTAGTTCCTTCAGCTTTAATTATCTTACATTTCTCTACATTGAACTCTATTTGCAATCTGATGGCCTGGTCTCAAGTGAAACAATTCCTTCTAATTTTGATTGCACTACTCTGCATTATTTGTTTTGTCCCCAATCCTGGTATATGTAATCTTGGAGATTTTGTTTTCAAGTCAGCTTGATAGGCATTAATAGAAATGGCTCAGCCAGTTCAGAAAATAAATTAATGCTGTAGGAAAAAAATCTTTACTTCCATATGAATGTAAGTATTCTTCAACAACTCAAAAAAAAATAAAGTAGTTCATGTTTCATATAACATAGGAAATATAAATTACATATTGCCATAAATAACCCGTGTGCTGTATCCTTCTCTCCCAAGGAAGGATCTAGAAGTCAGGGTTTGGTATAAATTTTTCACCATTCTAGAGACTTCTCTAAGCTTGTGAAAACTATTTATTCTTAAAATTGGACTCTGAACTGACCTGCGAATTAGCTGATGATTTCAGATCCCTATTGTAAATTTTGGTGTCTTTTATTGGTAACTAATAGCTGTATTTTGCACTTAGAGGAACCAGTCCACAGTCTATTGCATCTAGCTAGTTTTCCTATTGGCTCAGGCTTGTTTAGTGTTTTCCACCCAAAACACTCCAGCTATCTTAGTCATAGACACAAAGATAATTTCCTAATATTTACCTTTTACAGAATATAAACTTGAATCCCAGGAGTAAACTACAGTTTTGAAGATCAGCAAATCGGTTTTGATCATGGCTTTTTAAAATTTGCTGAAGGAAAGTTAGCAGTAGTCTAGGGCAAGAATCTGCATCACAAATCATGAGACTAACCAGATTACCATTAGCTCTATTCCACATCAAAGTATCTTGCAGCGTATCCTTGGAAGCAGACTTTATCTCCAAACTCCATCTAGAGAATAACTCTTCAGCACTGCCATCCTAGCTGGTGATCGGCAGTAGACACCCACTACACCTGCTTTCTTTTCCATCCCCCTCATCCTCACTGACTGTAAGGGCTGTACCACCAAACCTCTCCCTTACATCTAGTACAACACCTCCACCTCGCCTGCCCTGCCAACCCCTCCTGAACAGCCTGTTCCCCCACCGCAGCACTCCAGGAATGGGACTCATTTCACCGAGTCCCACTAACACCAAGGATTTCCCAGCTCTGAGAATGGACCAAGGCTTCCAGCCAAAGGCACTTGTACCCCCAGCCCCTGACAGCCGCCTGTAGGGCTCAGGGGCACCCCAGCTTCCCTTAACCCGTTCCTTCCCCAGGAGGAACTGGGGGGGCTGCTGGGGGCGGGGCAGAACACAGGGAGCCCCCACATTCCCTCCTGGGAGACCCCAGAGAGTCCTTAGCAGCCAACAGCCACAACAAACGATGGCGGTGCCACCACTGCAGCTGCCACCATGTGGCCCCCAGGCCCCACTGGCACCCCAGCTCCTTCAGCCTTTTTTGCTCCCCGAAAGCTTCTACCCCCAAGGTAGGGACCGATCTCAACCCCTGCAGCCTGGGGACACTCCTGGGGGCAAGAGCAGAGGTAACTACGGGCCATCACTCCTGTCTTTTTTCCAGGCTCAGCTAACCTGTGCCAGCTGCCCAGGCAGGAGCCGCCTTTCCCCGCAGCCTGGGCACCCCAGGCACCCCAGGCACCACCAGCAGGTACAGCACCCCTGTCTGCTCTGGCACCCCAGCACCCCCATCACACCCATTCCCCTCCACCTCCTGGCAGTTTTCGCACAGGGGTTCAGCAAGCCCAGGTGAGCATCCCTGCCCTTGCCTGGGTGACATGTTCCCAGTACATTTGATTTCCAGAGAATTTCTCAAATATTTGGGGCCATCTCTCCTATTTCACCTCTGAGAAATCAACCTCCCCTTGTTTGCAAACCCATCCCGCTTACACAGCGGCTCATGCTGCAGGGAACACCCCAGCCATAGGCTCCCCACATGCCTAGCTCAGAGCTGGGGGACGTCAACGATGGGGACCAGCTCAGCGGGTGCCCCTGGAGGGTCCCCCAGCCCAGCATGGCTCCCTCTCACCCACACAGGGCTGCAAATGGCTCCATGCGGCTGCTTTTTCGACCCCCGGCTCTTCTGTATCCAGTGGACAAGCCTGCCTCCACCAACCACCTCCATGTTCACTTCTCTGCCGAGTGCTGTCCTGTGGGGCCCCGGGGGCTGTGGGACCCCCCCCACCTGGGCATCCCCTGGGGCCCCCCAGAGCCAACTGCAACAACTCACAGCCTACAGAAATGAGAGGAAAGCAGTGACCCCAGCCCCACCAGTGCTGCTGACATCCAACCCTGGCTACCAGCACGAGGGGCAGTCTGCTCAGAACATCATCACTGGGACGGCCACCCCCGCGGGGGCACCCCCAGGTAGCGACATCCTGCTGGGCAACAACGTCCCCCCCAGCCTCTGTGCTGGCCCCGCCACCCAAGGTGCTGGGGACCCAGCTGACAACCTTGAAGTGTCCGAGGAAGTGCTTCTCGAAGAGGCTCTAAGGCTCTTCAATTGCTCCCTCGATGCGGTGGGGGTGAGCCAGGACAGTCCCAGCAGCAGCCCCATGCCTGGGGACCCCAGTGGCAGCGGTACAGCCATCCCCCACTGCGACTTCGCCTCGCTTGCGCTGCCTGAGGAGCTGCTCACCCCTGACTACAGCGTCCCCGAGGCCACCGACATCATCTTGAGCCTAGAAGAATTCAGCATCATCAGAATGGAGCCCGAGGAGCCATGGGGGGATGAGGGGATGGACCCACCACCATCCCAGCCTGCCGTGTCAGAGAAGCGGTGGAAGAAGCGGGGGAAGAGCACCCTGTCAGTGCCAGCCCGCAGGCGCAGGGGTCCCGCAGCCAGCACAGGGGTGGCAGGGGGCGATTAGACCTGCAGCACAGATGAGATGGAGATGGGGGGAGTGGGGGACCAAGGGGAATGTATCCATGGGGGGGGGAGGGAGGGCCTTAGCGTAGCTTTGAGGGGACCTTTTCTCTTGTTCTTTTGCTATTAAAAATTGTTTCTCCAGAACTGCTCTGTGACTGTGTGGGAGAGGGAGGGAGAGCAGGGGGCACCAGGAAGCAGCACCCAAAGGTGAAAAAGCTCCACTGAGCCCCAGATCAGAGCTGTTGAGCCCTGAAGGGCACTGAAGCACCCCCACAGCCAAATCACTGCTGGCAGTGCAGGCAATAGCAGGGGGGCCATGCAGAAAGCAGCATGGAGCCGCTGGGACAAGAACAGACTTTGGGGAGCCAGGGCAGGGAGCAGACACACACAACAAGGGCTGCAACGCCTTAGTCTTGAACACGACCAGTTCCCCCCAGTGGGTACAGTGCTTGGTGCAAAGCCCTTCAAAGCCTCAAAATAATTATGCCCTTCCTTGGGTCCCACCACTCTTGGCTCCAGAGCCCAGGATTGCCTCACTGCCATAGCAAAATAACCCCAAATCATCCCAAGAACAGCAAAGGAGGAGGCTGCAGGCCAGGCAGGGAACCCTCCTCCCCTTGTCTGGCTGCACGTTAGGCAGCCACAAGATCAGAAAGGCGAGGGGAGGGAGGGGTGTGTATGGGGGGGGCAATAAAAACACTGCGCCAGCCAGAAAGTGCCTGGAAACTTCTTGTCTCCCTGTTGCCCATTTCTCATCCAAGCTCCATAACCTGGGGCCAACGCAGCCAACAGCACCTTTGCGAAGCAGCGTCACCTTTCCTGGTCTGGCTCACAAAAGGTTCTGGGTGAGGTCCCTGTTGGGGCTGTCCCCCAGCACCGGGGGGGCTGAGCCCCTTCCTTAAGGCAGTCCCAGGGATGCCACTGGGGCGGTGGGAGCCACTGTGGATCCTGGGCAGGCGCAGTCCCGTTGGTGTCAGCACAGCACGGTGCAGCTCCCAGTGCCACTGCTGCTCAGCATGTCGCCTCACAGAGCGACCCACCCCAAGCATCATCCTTGCCCCAGAACTCTTGTTCCCTGCAGCAGCTGCATCACCTCTGCCCACAGCTCTCAGGGGCCACAGAGAGTTATTCTGCTCAAGAGAAGGAGGAAAACAAAAGAAAAAGCTCAGAACCCAAACTTCAGGACTGAGCAAAAGTTAAAGCATGTTTTTAAGGGCATTGTCCAAACTGACTCCTCTTGAGCCTGCTGCCAACCAGCACGCCCAGATTCCTTTCTCAAGGGCTGCTCTCCAGCCACTCCTCTCCCAGTTTAGACTTGTGCCTGGCATTACTCCTTCCCAGGTGCAGAATCTTGCACTTGGACTGGCTCAATTTCATGCCTGTAATGATTGCCCAATGGTCCAATCTATCTAGATCCCTCTGCAAGGCCTCTTGTGCCTCAAGAGAGTCAACAGCACCTCTCAGTTTCCTATCATCAGCAAGCTCACTAATGGGGTGTTTAACTCCTGCATCCAGATCGTGGATCAACATATTGAACAGCACTGACCCTAGCATTGAGCCCTGAGGGACACTGCTGGTGACCGCTCACCAGGCAGATGTACCTCCAATCACTACAACCCTTTGAGCCCTGTCACCCAGGCAGTTCTTCACCCAGTGCACCATGAACCCACTCATCTCACAGGTAGAAAACTGGTCCAGAAGGATGCTGTGAGAGATAGTATCAAAAGCCTTACTAAAATCCAGAGAAAACTACATCCGCCACTTTCCTTTCATCCACCAGGTGGGTGACCTTATCCTAGAAGGTTATCTAATGAACAGGACTTTCCCTTTGTGAACCCATGTTGACCATGCCTGATGACTGCATTGTTATTCACATGCCTTTCAGCAGCACCCTGCATAATCTTCTCCATAATTTTTTCAGGTGCTGAGGTTAGGCTTACAGCTCTGTAGGTTCCTGGGTCTTCCCTCACATCCTTCTTGTCAATAAATGTTGGCTAGTTTCCAATCAGCAGAGACCTCTCTAGACTCCCAAGACCTTTGGTAGATGGAGAGAGTTCCTACCATAAAATCTGCTAGCTCCTTCAGTACTCTGGAATGAATTCCATCAGGCCCCATGAACTTGTGACAATTCACAGCTGATACAGCTAGTCCCTGACAATTTCAGTGTCCAGAAATAAGAAGTCACTGTTCCTATACTTGTGGACCTCTCCCTCAGGGGACCGGGCAGTCCACTGTCTATTAGTATTACTAAAGTTTGAGGGAAAAAAAAAAAGCATTGAATCCCTTGCTTTTTCTTCATCCCTATTTGTCAGGTGACCACCATCAACAAATACTGCTTCAATGTTTTCTTCAGACCTCCTCTTGCTGTTATCCTACTTAAAACTCCTTCTTGTTGTCAGACACACCACTGGCCAGTTTCAACTCTAATTGAGCTTTGGCCTTTCGTGTCTTCTCAGTGTCACAGTTCTGTCATCTTCCTGCCAAGCCTGACCTTGCTTCCAGAGATAATAAAATTCCTTTTTCCTCTGGAGCTCCACGAGGAATTCCCTGTTCAGCCAAACCAGCCTTCTGCCCCACTCGCTTGACATCTGACGCAGAGGAATTGTCTGCTCCTGAGCTTCTCAAATGTGCTTCTTAAAAACTGACCAGCACTCACCGACTCCTGAGCCCGCAACAGCAGGTTCCTAGAGGACTCTGCTAAGCACAGATTCTATCTGAAGACTGTGAGATTAACTCACATTCACATTAAAAGTCATTAACTTTCTACTTCAGGAATTTGGTAGTGATTTTTTTTTCGTACCACCAGAAAAGGATTCAAAACATAGCAAATTGATTTTTTTTTTTCCCCACCTGCTGAGCAGGTTTGATTTTCTCTGCCACTGTAATGATATCCTTTAAGAAGGGCAAAGAATCAGGTTTTCAAAAGATCAGAGATTCTGATGTCAACTGCAGTTAGAAAAAGAGGTACCTTGAATTCAGGTTGCAGTAAGGAAGAGTATTTTTTTTTTCCAATATTTCTAAACTGTTTTTTCTGCTTCAAATATATAGATATTCAAGTTTGACTGGAGCAACCTGCTGTAGCCAGACCTGCTTTGAGGTCCCCTCTAGCCTGGGTTCTGAAGCCCTGGAAATGGATCTGCTTACACACCAGTAGTCTTCCCAAAGACAAATGCAACAAATCCTAGAGGTAACTGAAATGTAAAACATTTTTACATCTGAATTCTAGAAGATGCTTTTGTATCTTACTAAGCTTTCTTATTAACATCACTTCATAAGGATACTGTAAGAGCTTCAAAATACTAGGAATTACAGACATTTGTAAAATATGTATGTCATATTTAAGGAAAGACTATTAATTTGAACAGGGCAATTTGCTTTCAAACCCAAATTTTTGGCACACTCACATCCTTTACTTCTGAGGGGGACTGCTGCATCTGAATGGTTTGGTTTGAAATGCATCTACAGATGTGGTCTAATAGCCTGAACTCTCTCTTTAAAACAACCACCTTGTCTACCAATCGTACTTGAACAACTCAACTCTTAGATTACCCTTAGGGACTGAACCCTTCCTATTCAATTTCCTGATATGATGAAGCAGTTGCTTTTGTTTAATTTCTGAAGGGCTTTGTTTACCTCAGTGACAGCATTGATTATGTAAAAAAATATCAATTATCTAGTATTATTGTTTATAAAGTGGCATCATCTTCATACATATTTACATAAAACTCTCTCTCTCTCTGGCTGTTCTGTGTTTCCACAAAATGATTACCTTTACTTGAGCACTGCCTTTTGAAAAACATCAGAGGATTCAGATATACACAAACTCATTTTAACTAGGCTTTGTAAAAACCACAGAAGGCTCTACCAGCCCTCTGAGCAGGGACTTAAATTATGAACAGGAACCTCTGCCTTAGTGGCACAAAGGAGTTGGCACAGAAGCATGTCAGTCTCCTATTGCTCTCCCTTATCCCTCAGCCACCACTGGCACAGTTTTCCCGTGAAGAAGAGCAACTGAGGGCAGTCAGTGCTATTTCTAAAGCAGCTTTAATTCTCCATCATCTTCCTGCCAAGAAATCTGCAGAGTCAACAGGGAACATTGTTAGGGAGTCACAATTCTTGTCACTTGGGTTTGAAGCTTTATTGCAGCTTGAGCTTTGTTAAACATTTAGAATACCTTAAGAAACACACTGTAAGCACTGATAAGGGCCATCTGCACCATACAGAATACCCCTCTCACTCCACTAATAATGGACCCAACCGTACCTTTAAGAGGCACATCCTTGTACTTGATGAAAGGTGCAGTTATACAAGTCTTGGTGCTTTATTTTTCTTTTCACAGGATTCCCTATATTTCTAGTTCCAGATTATTATTTGTTTTTATTCTTGTGAAATCTTATTTCATCATTTCTTTCATCTAGTAGCCTGGTACTTGCCCTCCACACTCCAAGTCTTCTTAGACAAATTAGGGAATTCTTCCCCTTTCAGTGAATAGTACATTAATTTAAATTTACATATATAGATAGATAAAAGAGGCACTGCCTTCATCACACTCTGAGAAACTTTGAAGGCACTTTCTTTAATATCTTATTTAGCATCTTTTTAGTTATTGTGGCTATAGCTATGTCATGATAACTTGGATGCATCAGGGTATCTATGGTCACAGCTAGTGTCAAGAGCAAGACATTCAGCCTTCCACCTTATTGCGTTACTTGACTCTGCACAAAACAAATGTCATACCTGTCTAAATCAGTGTTTTATTCTCAGTGGTAGGCACATACACAGTTTCAACTACAAGATTCATAATGGCTTCCTGCAAATGCTTTCCGGGTATAGAATCTTTACTAGATTAGTATACAATCTACCAGATTTACTGCAAAATTAAACCAGACCTGAAAGCTACTCTGCAAAATCTCCTAGTAACTCCATCAAGCTCTGGTAAATACTATGGATTTCCACTGATTTTCAAATTACATTTAAAGAAGGGACTATCATTCAGTGTGA